ATTATCAATATTTAATGTAGTTGAAGTCTGTTTTGTTATAGTTTGGTTTTGATTCATTAAGGAATTTTTCCTCGGCGTCTTGGTTTTGATTTTGTTCCTAACTGGACTGCTATAAATGACTTTGTATGTCTTATTAATTTCTAATAATTCGGCATTAGACTGTTTTAGGTTAATATTCTCTAAAGATAATTGGTCTATTTCTTCGTGTGCGCTTTGTAATTTAAGTTTTAGATCTTCTATCTCCTTCTTTAGAATATCAATCTTTCCTTCCTCCTCTTCTTCGGACATTTCTGGTAGGGAATTTGTGGTACAGTCGAATGTTTGTGAAGTTACATCATGGCTATTGTCAGTATTAGATTCCGATCTACTACGTATTCTTCTAAATGTAATATTCTCCAAGAAATTCATTTTAGTATGTGCTGGATTAAATTAAAATTGACTTAGGAGTAGGTATGTTTTGATTCAATATTTGAGGCAACAGTAAAGTTGTATGTGTAAGTGACCATAGATCGTTATGTCGATCCCTTATGTATTATTTAATTTCTGCAGTTTTAACAATATCAGTGCCTTTAGCCAAACGCCACTTTAGCGCTAGCTCACTCCAAGACTATTTCATCAAGTTATACATACAGTCGAGAAGCATTTGGTTCTCGAATTAAATGATTCAGAACAATCACAAGATTTACAAAAAGCAGTGCCCCGGCTGGATACGAACGCACGGTATATTACTCGTAAGGCGGCCTCAATCACGATTGCGCCATCAATACGATTAGTGTAGCAGTCGAATTAGTATGGCACATTCTTGTTGTTTATAAAAAATATTCTTGCACCGTCTTTTACCTACTAATGTTGATTTTAGAACAAAGGTCAGCTTTTTATTCCTTTGTTTGCACCAGTGTAAACGATTGAATTTAAATCACTTATGTATTTGAATTATGTATTGTTTGTGCACTTATGTATTCGCTAATTGCTGATTGATATACTTATTATAGCCTCCTTTAAATAGTAGGCGAGTGCAATGTTATCTCTGATATAGTTTCTACATTTATTCCACTACTAATGTGGCTGATAGCACTGCAGAGCTAGGTTCTTAAGTCGTATATCACTACTGTTCTATATTCACTGTCCACTGAGCACTTTTTATATTTTTAAACTTTAATTTAACGGGAGCACTTTAGATATCACTGTTTACGTTGCAGCGCCGCCTGGCGGATCCAGTTTAAAAGAGAAGTTTTATTTTTGTTTTTTAAGATAAGTTTACAGAGAAGAAGTTTTGTTTTATTGTTTAACTTTTAAAAAAGAAGCTTTTGACTGGTTTTAATAAAGCAAACCAATAATATTAATACCTAGTTATTTTTGGGAATGTTATGGAAAAAAGGAGTTTCGTTTGAATTTAGTTTTAAACCTGGCGACCTGGCAACCCTACACATACACATAACACCCAGACTCAAAACAACAATTTGTAGATCATACAAAGATTTGCTCCGAACAGGGATCGAACCGCCTGATTGCCGTGTAACGTGTAACGTAGGCATTATCGGTCCTTCGGGGCTCCCTTAGGACGGGGGCCCTCGGCACGGGCCCCCAGTGCCCTTATGTTAAATACGGCACTTAAGATGACACTCTACTTAAACGTTTTCGTTTTCGGACATCGTCAAAACCGCGCGCTATTTTCCGAGTAGTTTAACACAATAATAACTATATTTGACACAACAATGAGTACAATCAAGTCAAAGCATTTATTTCAATATGCACTTTTGAAACATCAAAGTGAATAGTGTGAATACGCTAGTTGACAGTTAGTCAAATTCAATACTTTTATTGAAATGTCAAAAACGATACTTTTCTATGAATTTTGTATTGTATCGCAACTTATGACGTCATCATATTTCTGCGTCAAATAGCATACTTATTTCCTCAAAATTAGCGAGAAAAAATCCAAAAGTAGGTATATTGTGAAATCAATGGATGAGAGTATGATTATTTTTTAATTATTTCTTGCATTGAAAAGTTGAAATAGTTTATTTTAAACTTAGGAAACTACTCAATTGCCAATGAAGCTAGGTGTTTCGCGTCGCAACACTTCAAATTAAGTCAAGACTAAATCTTATGATTTAGAATTAAATAAAACTAATGTGTTGCTTCTTAAAATGAAAAAACGACATTTAATGTTATAACATAACATCACGCCTTTTATCCCCGAAGAGGTAGGCAGACTTGTACATTATGCCACTGTACAATGTAACACCCACTTTTCACTATTTATGTTATGAGTCCCATGTAATAGGGGATGAGCCTATTGCCATATACCGGGCACAATTCCAGACTCCGTGCTACTACTGAGAATTTATAAAAACCTAGTAGTACTTTGCCCGACCCGGGAATCGAACCCGAGACCCCTTGCCCGGCAGTCGCACTTGCGACCACTCGGCCAACGAGGCAGTTAATGTTATATTCTTCCATAAATTCTTTAACACAAAATTCTTATAATATTGACGTTTAAACATACCACAGACTAGTACTAGATTGGCAATAGTAATCAATTCAAAATTAAAGAAAACCTTATTTCTTTACATGCTTTTAAAATATTTTCGACTTTATAACAAAATAGCTTATGCCAGTGTCTTCGCCGGGTTCCCGTAGTGTAAAAAGTGGCCGGTACCAATGTGAATTCTAGACCCGGAGAACCTAACGGGTTACCGGGGCTCTGGCTCGACGTGCAGGAGAAGAAACGGGGTGGTTTTTAGGCAGTAAGAGTCTGACACTCCCTCCCGCCTCACCCAAGGCGGGAGACTTCATTGGATGATTTTCCCCCCTCAAAAAAAAATGCTCCTTCTTTTTAAACCGATTAAGATTACAGCGTAGATTAAAAAATCCAAGATGTCTAAACGATGAGGTCACAATACCTCATAACGGATCACGGATGGTAATGTCTTGTTTAAGGTCAGTGATGCAATGTGACGCACTCGGCCTGTGAGGTTTAATGGTCTAAGCTTCGATGCGCATATGAAGCGAGGCGATACTGTTATACTAACTATAAGTAACTTGAAAGAAAGAAAAATAATTATTTGCCATTAGCCATGATGCATCAAACACACAGACATAAATATTATGAAAAAAAAAATCAATAAAAAAAACAACAAAAAAATAAAACGCAATAAAAAACAAAAAGATGTCAACATGGCTATGACAACAAGGCTTGCCAACTCAGTATCAAAGAGTATAAAAAGTATAAGGGTTCTCAGTATGAGCTGGGCACAGTAATTACCCAACGCTTGTCATTTATTGTTTTCATGTATTAGTTGTGAATTCTGTATTTACTAAGACAATTTAAACACAAAGGTTTACCTATTTTATTTTGGACTTTCATTGAACTATACTGAAGTCAACTGAATTTAACCTAGAATACATACCACATACTAAACCTAAACCTCATTCAGACCAAGCACACTCGCGTGAGCATAATTGGCATAATTTTATTGGGAAAATCATCAAATGAGGTCGATTTACACACCATAGGTGAGGCCTGAGGCGAGAGAGCGTAAGTCTCTTCTATCTTCTCTATGATATCATTGTATCTTCTCTATCTATATTAATAAATAATTTCGTCATGGGGTACGGTAGACTCGATTACATTACCTGAATAACAAAACATAAAAAATATCGATTTCGAGTCGACAACATTTATATTGCAAAATTCGGATTACGGAGATAATTTCGTTTTATTAATTCATTTTAATGACACTGACAGACAAACCGCAGTCGCCATCTTGAGAAGACAATACGTCTCAAATACGCCTCGCCAAACAACACGTTGTCGCGTCAAAAAAATATAAATTAATTAACAAGAAATATGAATAATTATACGCGAACGAAGTCGTGGGTAACAGCTAATATTGACTAAAAACCACCCTGTTCCTATTCCTGTTTCAAGCCGGAGCCGATATATAGCTATATTTTCTATCTTACATCTATCTATACACTATAACCCGATTCTATAGTAACATTTAATGACTCCAAACACAAAATACAATTACGGAAGTAACACAATAGGAATATGAATTGTTCATCTTAATTCTGATGCAGTAGATGTTACTTTGTTGTAATTTGTTGCTTTATTTATGTAACAAAGGAGGTCCGCGGGCTTGCAGACGGCGAGCATGGGTTGCTCGCCGCCTGACCAGAACCAGACCCGAGCGACGGCGCGTCGCGTTCCGCGCTTCAAAGAGCCATCAGACCACCACGGATGGGGCCTTATAGGGCTGATGCCGATACGGAGTCGCGGAGAACCTAACGGGTTACCGGAGTTCCGGCTCGAAGTGCAGTAGTAGGAATGGGGTGGTTTTTAATCAGTGTGAGTCTGACACTCCCTGCCGTCTCACCCAGGCAGGAGCAGTCATTCGATGATTATCCCCCTTATAAAAAGAAAACAGGAGGTTAGGTGTTAGCTACAGAACTATTGAGTGTTTTATGCAAACGTCAACAGCCTATAGGCGCCCACTGGTGAGCAAAGCCTCTTCTCACACGGAGAAGGTTTGAGCTTTCTACGCTTGCACATTGTTACGGGTTAGCAAACTCAAACTTATAATTTTATTTGAAACTAGCTTCTACTCGCGATTTCGTACGCGCAATCCCATTTTCTCCCGTTCCCGTAAGATTTTCATGATTTTTTCTGTGTTGAGAACTTCTCCTAATAATAAAAAATAAAAATAAAATAAAATAAAAGCTAAAAAAATTAAAAATGAAGTCTTGTCCATGGTCCACAGACTTATTATTTTACTGAAATCATAAAATACATAATATCTAATATTATCTGTGGACCATAGACAAGGAACACCCTACTTACTTCATATATATTATATCTACTATGCTAGTATATATACGATATATACTATCTAGTATACCATAGGGAAGTAAAGTGCAGAGATTTAGCATAATAAATAATAAACAAATATCAGGACGTCGATTAATTACCTATTTATATATTAACTTTGTTTCAGAGAAAAACTCCTCCACTCGAACGTTCGTTTCAACGAGAACAGCACGATGACGTACACTGCGAAGAGGTTCCCCATATACCTGCCGGACCTCAACAATATAGACCTTAATGCTACCATCATAGTGCCTAATGTCGGCGTTTTGGTAAGTGACCTTCGATTCGTTTCCTTTTTATAAAAAAAACGTTGCCCCACACTAGGATTTTCTCCTATGTCGTGTGTGTTTCCATACATCTATATGTCGGTATCGGTACAAGTTCACATGCACATGACACCCAGACCCGAAACAACAATTTGTGGTTCACACAAAGAGTTGCTCCGTGCGGGAATGAACCCGCTACACGTTGCGTGACAGCCGGTTGTACAGCCAACCAACACCAAACCAAAAAAAAAACAAAAACAAAAAAACCAAGCCAAATCAGTGAAGACTAAATTTGTCTTTTTCCTGTACGTACGTTCCTGTACGTTTATTACGTCACAGAAAAAAAATCACACGAAGGATTACCTCATTATATTTGCTCGATGTTAAAACTATTACAGTCGCCTGAGACACGCCTGAGATCAAAACCAGCGCCATCTGTTATCGTGAAATAGAAATAATCAGTATGACAATTTACTGTTTTAGACACTAAAGTATTACTGAATTTAGAATTTTAATTTAGAAGTTGCAATAAATCATTACTTGGGAATAAATTAAATAATGAGTTTTTAAAATTAATAACGATCAACTAGGTAAATTAGGTACCTACTAGGGCTTCCATCCCGGGAGTCTCGGTCTCGAAAATCCCGAGAGTCTCGACGATTTTTTCATGTTTTCGAGACTCGAGACCTCAGCTCCAATTTTCGAGAATTTCGAGACTTTTGAGAGTTAGTTAAATAATCTACAAAAAATACCAATCTACTAAAAAAATCTACTAAACTACCATTATTATTTTAATTAAGTGACGTGGCAACACTCATGACTTGCAAACGACTTTGCATGTAGAAAAAGCTCTCTTTGAGAACGGTGGTGACAGAGGTAAGCATTTAAATCAGTGCTATAATTATTTACTATCCATCCCCCCTACTAGTGTCGAAGCAGAGAGAGCTTTTTCAAATGCAGGGTACTTTTGTAACAAAATCAGATCCTCTTTATCTGAAAAGTCATTGAATGCCCTTTGCTTTCTGCGTGCATATTTTAAAAATGAAAAATGTTAATTTTATATAATACATTTGTTTTTTTTTTGTAATAGTTGATTAATAAAGTGCATAATTGAAACATATTGTTTTATTTGCCTAATTGTATAAACCTTGAGTATGAAACTTATTTAGTCTCGAAAGTCTCGTTTTTCCCGGGACTCCCGGGACCGGACCCAGTCTCGATTTTTTTTTCCCGGGACTCGAAAATGTATCGAGACTGGAAGCCTTA